TTGTGCTAACTGCAGCAATGTTCCTATAATGGAAAGGAAAGCAGTGGCCGCCAGGTGCAATGATTGTCGAGATCCCCTCCCCTCAGAGAGGCCATGAGTGGGGTGAGCATCTGTACCATGGGGTGACCGTCCACATCAGGGGTTGGTGAGTAACCGCCTCCCACCTCTTGAGCACCCTGCTCTCTTCTGTTGGAAGACAAGAGCTGTGCGTACCAAGGAATTCTAATGGGTTGCGTTCTCATCAGGGGCCCAGCCCACCAAAGGAGGTAACAGACCTGGGCCCCCCCAGTCTATCCATGGGGCCCATTTCCCCGTGTGGTCAGATGGGCTCGTCTCTATGTTTGGAGGTAGACACCAGGTCTGTGGATCTCTGTCCGTAGATCCAGCTGCCCTGTTTAATGCGGATCCGATCTGTGTTCCATTTGACTGGAAGGCCTCTTAAGGGCTAAGCAAGGTAAGGACCGCACTGGGAAAAGAGCAGGGCAGCCACAGGTGCCTGCTGGCCCCGATTACAACCTGCCCCCCCCCCCAGCAAGACAGCAAGCCTGCAAAAGGACCAGGGTTCCTAGATCAGAGATAGTAGCAAAGCAACCAGTTGGTCCTTCCAAAATCAAGCGCCCGGCGCCCTCTATTGACCAATCCCTGCCAATTCCATAAAGCAACTCCGAGGCCAAGTATCCCCATTCCTTGTTATCTCCGGTCAGTCTGGCATTTTCCTTGAAAATTTGAACGGATTGTCCGAGTCTTGGCCGTCAACACAGAGAGTGGCGTAATTGTTGCTTGAGGTATTCGGATGTACTGTGTTGTCCAGGTCTCGCCTGTTCACATGCACCTGGAATTACCCCCAAAACCGCCCTCCCTTTTTGCCTATTTTCTCTGCTTTCTTCTTACCAGCTTCATTCTTTGGGCACCTTGTGAGAAGGGAAAAGGCCATCATGCTGGGAAAGCTGGAAGGCAGCAGGAAAAGAGGAAGACCCAATACAAGATGGACTGACTCCCTAAAGGAAACCACAGGCTTGAGCTTACAACAGCTGGAGCAGGGCAGCTGAGAACAGGATGTGTTGGAAATCACTCACTCCTAGGGTCGCCAATAGATTGGAGGCAGGTTGACTGTATATAATAACTTCACTTTTTCTTCCTTTATTTTACCTGCCTGCGGCTCTCGATCCTCCATAGTTTCACTGCAAAGCTTCAGTTTTATATTTTTAATTTAACACGTTGCAAGGATCTACATGAGACGACTGAACACTGGATCAAATTGGAACAAGGCGGAACAAAAACCCTGGAAAGCAAGGGTTTGTGGGTTGTTGTTCTTTACCCATTTTGACTCTGTTGACACTAGGTTCTGTATTATATCATGTGGGTGCAGTGCTAGCATCACGGCTGCAGAAGAAGCTGAGCAAATGCTTAATGCATCATTGTGGAATGGCCAGACAAGGCTTACATCCATTTGTTTGAATCACTAGGTTGACTCTGGTTGGGATGAGGAAGACACTAGCCAGAGCATCCTGGAGTCTCATCTGATAAAGAGGCTGCAAATATCAAATGCAACAGAGACCGGGTATGGTTGCAAGGCTGGCAGGCCTTTGCACTTCCTAAAGTCAGCCTAACTAACATTATCAATACCGTTTTGGATTCAGCCTTATGGCCAAAATTAGTGTTTCAATGGTATGTGTTTAAATTGTTCTAAAGATGTTGTTTTCAAATTGTTTGCTATGGCTCCGTAACCCACCCTGATATCTTGTGATATAGGACAGGCTATCAATGTTTTGTGCTGGGTAGATAGTTCAGTGGTTTTCGGTCTCTAGCTGTGGAGCCAGAGGGTTGAGAGTTCGATTCACCTCTATGGAAAAGAGCCAGCCTGGGTGGCCTTGGGCAAGCTGTACAGTCCCCAGAACGTCCCCCCAGAAGAAAAGAAGGGGAAGCCACTTCTGAGTACTCTCTACCTGGAAAACCCTGAAAAGGGTAGGCATAAGAACTGAATTGGTGGCACATGATGATCATTATCAATATTTTAAATAAATCAACCAAGCAAGCTTCCCTGGTACAAATTCTAAAGCTGAATTGAACACTAACAAAGTCTGCTTCTAGAGTTGGGGGGGGAGGGCTTACTGAAATTCTGTCTCGCTTTGCTGGGTATACCAGTGGTACCTCGCAAGATGAATGCCTCGCTGGATGAAAAACTCGCAAGATGAAAGCGTTTTGCAATCATGTTGGTGACTCGCAAGACAGCTTCTTCTATGGCCATGCTTCACAAGATGATTTTTCCCCCCACAAGACTGGTGCCTTGCAAGACGAAAATAATTCATTCATCTTGCGAGGTTTCCAATCCAATGCATTGCAATGGATTCCTACGGGAAACTGCTTTTCGTAAGATGAAAATTTCGCAAGACGGTGCTACTCGCGGAATGAATTACTTTTGTCTTGCGAGTTACCACTGTACAGGGATCCTATTTTACAGAGTATTTTTTATCATGGGCAGAAGTCGTTCTTCATCAGCTTTCCCGGGATATGGCTAGCGGGGGGACGGGGACGACAGAGGTTTCTTCTCACCCTCCCCTTTGACTTTCCTTTCCCCCCCAATTACCACAGGTTCCTTTTCTCTCTTTCCCTCCTGGTTCCATTCTCTTTTTCCTCCTCAACTCCATCCTCAGTTCCTTTTTTTTACTTCCCAGGTTTTTTGAAGTTTCGTTTTGTAATCTTTGGGAGGTTGGTGGTGGTCCTCAACAACTGTGTTGTCAACACAAAATGTTGGTGTCACTATGTTGAAGCTCTCGAAGAGGACTCAAAAAGCTGCATTTGACGCTTCAGGTTCCTCACAGAACCTGCCTCTTGGCCATCTCAACCTTTAATGAGCTTCCAGAAAGGTTATTATTTAAAAAAAATCCCATGCCAACAGACTCTTGGCCTGCAATTTGAAATGGTTCCATTAAAAAACGACGCCACGATATTTAAAATATCGACAAACTTCTACAAAACACAATTTTTGGAAACAATAAGCTTTGCAGGAGAGAAGAAAGCACGCAAGAGAAAGAAACGGAGGGGGGATTCACAGGCGTCATAAATGTGAATTCCTGTAGTTTTTAGACCTTCCATGTTAGTTCTTGTTTCAGGAGGGTTGGCCTTTCATTGTTTCTGATTAGGAGTACCTAAATATTATTTAGGTCCAAAATATTATTCTATACCATCCCATGAATGTCAGGAAGATCGGTACATGGATCTCCTTGGAGTTGAACATGAGTAATGAAGGGGATGTGGTGGCGTTGCGGGCTAAACTGCAGAAGCCTCTGTGCTGCAGGGTCAGAAGACCTGAGATCGAATCCACGTGACGGAGGGAGCTCCCGTCGCTTGTCCCAGCTCCTGCCAACCTAGCTGTTCAAAAGCAAATAAATGAGAGTAAATAAAAAGGTACCACCTCGGTGGGAAGGTCATGGCGTTCCGTGTCTAGTCGCGCTGGTCACGTGACCACGAAAACTGTCTTTGGACAAACGCTGGCTCTACGTCTTGGAGACGGGGATGAGCACTGCGCTCTAGAGTCGGACATGACTGGACTAAATGTCAAGAGGAACCTTTACCTTTACCTTAATGAAAGGATGCCAGGATGCATCTAAGTTAGTTGAGTCTCAAGTGCCTCGTGCATGCCTGGGTTCTTGAGTTAAAACGTTCCAACACAACGATGTCCCATTTTTTTTAACAGCAATCATTCACGCTTTTAGCGAAATGCAGAACGAGGGTGGCTAGCAGTTTAGGCATGGGGCTGTCACGATTTTTTGGACTGCAGACCCCTAGAATTCACCAGTAATTCTTCCCACTACAGGCAGGAAATTAAAATCCTCTGAAGTGTTTTCCCTCCCTCACAAGCCTCCTTAGCAACCTCCATTTTGAGGGCACAAGAAGGCCAGGCGAGCCTACGCTGAGGGGGAAACAGAGTTACAGAAACGGTGGTTTCCCTGGAAAATTAAGACTCGACATTGGGTGCCTTAAAAAATCATAATTCTTGGCTGTAGCTCCCAATATTCCTGCTGGGAGAATTCCTGTTGAATGCTGGGGCTTGCAGAGCAAAAAAAAAAATAAGGAAGGCCCATGGCTGGTCGTGTGGAAACTGAGCATCAGGTCCTCACAGAGACGTGAAACTCCCTCTTCTGAAGCTTAGCCGGTCCTTTCCCCAAATGCCTCCTTCACAGGGTGGCGAGGATGAGATCCTGTACACCTTGAGAGCTTAATGGAGAAAAAGATGGGCCACAGCTTTGGTGAACTGGAAATACAGTGGTGCCTCGCTAGATAGTTGTACACCTTGAGAGCTTAATGGAGAAAAAGATGGGCCACAGCTTTGGTGAACTGGAAATACAGTGGTGCCTCGCTAGATAGTTACCCCGTATGAGTTTTTTTCACTGACAGACTTTTTGCAATCGCTATAGCGATTCTCAAAACAGTGATTCCTATGGGGGAATTTCGCTGGACAATGTTTGGTCCCTGCTTCGCAAAC